CGTGTTGTTTTGATATCATAACAGAGTTCAATTTAAAGGTTAAATATGTTGTAACGTCTATTGACAAGTATGGAAAAATATTATACAAGAAAAAAAATGTATTACATATAAAAAAGGAAACGTGTTGTTGCTTTTTTTTAACGAACCAATTAATTTTCTGTGTATCGATCTGCTGACCTACATATAAAAATCACGTTTCGCACAACGTTTATCATTTACATAATTTTAATTTTTTTATTAAAATTTCCTCTTCGTCTGAGATCACGTATCGATGGAGATCATTGAGATTGGATGTGTTGAATGTATTTAATTAAAAAAATATTACTGTTCTTGTATAAAATTAATCTGACCTTTACAGTCAGAAATATTTCAAGGTTAATATGAATAAATAAAAACAGAATCACTCGTTAGCTATAACCGATGAAGTTGTAGCATTTGATAAAATCGATTAAAAAATTATTTTCTTCTAAAAAAAACATCTCATTCATATTTAAAAACATGTAGTATTTTAAATGGAAGTAATAATAATGTTTCTAATTTAAGAACATCTAATGAATGGACACTTAAGTGTGACATTATAATGATGGTTTCAATAATGAAGTTTAATATACGGCACAAATTAGTTTTGTTTCATAACATAACAAAGCGAGCGTCGTTAAGTGGCTATGAATAGTCATACGATAGTTCTAGAGCTTTCCTTCAAAACTTGCATAATGGACTTTGTATGTAATAAAATAGAGTTATGTTTCGTACGAGGACAGCTTGTCCTTGCATGTAATGATTGTCCAGTCCTTCCACGGTCGGGTGCGTGGAACCTTCCCAAGGCTACAATTACATGTGAGATTAGTTTCAGTGACATATGATACGGCTCCATATTAATGTTTGTGAGTCGTTATACTTAATTTTTGTATGCACCGTTCATATATTTTGCAATGTTATATATAGACATTGTATAGTATAGTATTGATGTATATTGTACAGTCTCCATAATGCATTTCGGCCATCATCATCTCCGGTCACGAGCGACCAGAGCACGCCTCAGATTGTCAGGTTCGTGACTGAGAATGCTCTCTATCGAAACAATGTGATTTAATGAAACATATAAAATATAATGTTCGGTTTTGAAAACAACACCTTCCTGGAACATCTCGTGTTGACAACGTACAAGACAATTGTTTTAACACTCCATTTGAAACACTATTTCAAATAATGCTTACGATTTTTTTTAACACTATATGAGTATTCAATTCTAACCTAAGCTTTATCTATATTAGCAATTCTTCCTAATATAATCCTAAGACTTCAAAGTAATTTCTTTAACTGTTAATGATGTATTAAGCCAACATAGCAAGTTCAGAACTCAACAACGCCCTGATTGACAAGCCGACAGAGCAATGTAACATGATGGATTGCGAATGGCAAAATATTTGAGGTCGCGATACTTTTTCCGGGCATCGAACCTTGCTTCGTTGCTAAGCAAAATAACGGGGCATACTCTCTATGTACAGATATATAATAGCTATTTGGATTACATTAATTATAATCATTTCATATTTAATACAACATTGCCTAACGTTCGCTTCTATATTGCATATTTTAAGCTTATTTCACATAATTGATTAAGTAATTAACCTGTTCATATTTATAATTACCGCAGATGTTTCATTTAGATAACATCAACTGTGATCTATTATTCACGTTATATTATATTTGAAATTCGTTATTATATATAAGAAAATAAACAGGACTTTATAATAATCAGATTAACTAACAAATAATTAACAAGACTTCAAAGTTAAGATTTGTTTTCTTAATCATAATTAAAACTATACTTTTGAAAATACTTTTAAACCACTATGCAGCAAATTATCCTTCTTTACATACAGTTTTGGTATGTATATTATTAGGAAATAAACTTTCAAAATATACATCACAAATTGGACGAAATTTGTATATAATATATTTAATATGTTTCTAGCTCAGATGAATTTCTAGTCGAGATGAGATAACATGTTGTGTAAATTATAACATGCAATTGATTGATACATTTCAATATCTTAATGAGCCACAAACCACACTTTATTTCACATCATAGAACATGATAGTCTTATATTTAGCGTTCGACTGCGTTTCATCATTTTTTTTCCTTTCGACGTTTAACAGTAACTTATAGGAGTAACAAAAAAAAGAGTGGCCTGATACACTTTTAACGGAACAAACCGGTACCAACCATGAAACTCAAAGCCTTCTCAGTGACGGCAATAAGGTCGCAGCCTAGTTGCACTTACTTATATCGAATGACATAATTACTCGGTTATTTTAAAATAATATTATTTTGTTATATTCTTGTAAGGATTGTATCGATGTAGCTTCTATATCGATCGTCTAAATGTCACCTCCTATTTTATTCACGTGGTTGGTAATCGGCCTCCATCCCTCCCGCCGTCCAGACGACATCGTTAATATTACAATAGGAACCCCCTTCACGTCACAAGCGAGCTCATGATTGAATTGTCTTTGTATTATAATATCAACATATTTTCATACCGAATTTTGCTGTACAAACCCAGCTACTTCTGACCTATTAAATTTCATTTAATTCATACATTTCTATTGTTATAATTATCATTTGACATCTACAAGGGTGGTGGCTTGTCCATCATCCATTGGAAGCGTGTTGCATAACCTTTGTTATTACTAGTGTAATTTTCATTCAACAGAGGCTAAAAGTCAAAATGCAACACGTATAATTATTATGTCACACATTAAAACGATTTTAATTAAAGCCAATGAATTTCTAGGAACAATCTTCTGGTGTGGCTAAATATAGAAACCGTTTATTAAATTATATGCAACTATATTTTTATCATAGTATTTCATTTTTTTTTTAACATTAAATCGTACTTGTTATAACAATCTTAAATAATATTACTTCCAAGGCTCGGTGAAAGTTATCTTTTTAATAATAACATTAAAGTGTATCCGTTTTCAATGCCGTTATATAGTGCAAAAATAATTATTCTCGAATTTACTAAGACTATAATAAAAATTACGTCGAATTACGAAACTGACACATATATAGACAATATATATAAGCTTCTGTGTTTTAGAAAGGGAAATTATCTGTTGTAATAAAGGGACTGTTTGTTAAATCAATGATAATAATTAATAAAGCTTATTGATATTAAAGGATATAATTATTACTGTTTGTTAATTAAATCCGGTTAGAGTTATCATGAAACTGATCACATGTATTATAGAAAGTACCACGAAAGTAATATCCAATGTGCGGTTACTTGAAGAGTTTAATGATAATTAATATGACGCACCCATTCATAATATATCAATATTTACAACCTATACATAAAATAAATTAAAAAAAAAGATATTCTTACAAATTCCTAAAAAAATTTGCATTTACGAAATATCTATATTAAGTTAAATTCGATTAATAAAAACTCGAAATGGACATTCCAGCTAAAAATAGAAGTCAGATGAATGAATTTATTTCAATCGATGCTTTACTAAAAAAATATGTTTAATAAACATGTAAATGACACTGTATGATAAAAAAAAATATCATGGCAATAAAATCTTATGAGATCGGAGTTAATTAAATTAACTTCTATCAAAAACTTATACAGGAAAAGTTATATAGATATTCTAATTAGTCGATTCTATTCCAATGTTCTGAGTACTGTAAGTACTTCTTGTTTGAGCACAGTGCGGCATCCTTGCCGTGACATCTAAACGAAGTCAACAACCTCGGCCCGAGTCGCCAAAAAACCGCAATAACTATATATTGACAGCGCGGTCTATTCTTGGAGCATGACATAAGCACTTAGCAGTAGCACCGAATTATGACTCCGGCTAACAGAAGTAACAAACGTATATAAAATGACGCTTATTGTAAACTCGAAAGTATTACAGTAGATCTTTTTATATTTAAAATATTATTAAATTATTCATCTTTAAATTCTTTTAATCCTTTGACAACCAAAGGACCGTAATGCTTTAGGCTTTCAAATCTTTGATACTTTCAACACCTCTTGAAGTAGAAGTAAGGCAATGATTGAGTATTTCCTTTACAAAGTTTCAAGTATAGGTTAACAGTTATATGTATTTTTGTTACCAGAATCTCTTAAGCGTTTTCCGAATGTCAGTTATCGTTCGAGTGTGGTGATAGCGATGATTATCATGTCACTGACGAAACAAGTCATCTAAATTATTAGAAAACATTTTCCATGTAGTCTAACTTATATTTATTACTGTAGTATTGAATATAATTAAAAATTAAGACATTTTTATTAAAATTATTTCATTATTAATGATTGTAACGATAAGCGATGTTTTAGAGGCCCGAATATTGAATTACATGAGAATAACAGCAGATGTTAACTGACAATCATTACTTTTTTGTTCGTCTCATAATTTATATTTATCACATGGGTAGAGTAATTAATACTAATTTATTTTCAATAATCATTATAAAATAATTGTTACTCAATAATTATTGTGACAACAGAACACTACCTTATCTTTAAACAAATACAGCACATATTCATATAATGTTAACAGCCATTAAACAAAATAATATGCATGCGTATGAGTATTAGAATGAAACGAAACTATTATCAAAATTGTGAGAATAAAACAAAACCAACGCCACAATACTTCGAAATACTAGCTTTGGTGTTAAAATTTACATAAAATTGGAAATATGTGACTATTCGGTGTAACCAATAATCCAGTCAAGAATTTTATTTTTTCTTCGACAGTAATACAATACAAAGCCATAAAAACAAGAGGATTATTGAATGCAAAATTGACATTGATGAAGATCAAATTATTCGATCGCATTTAAGATCACGTTGCGATTATTATCGCAGATGAAACACAAAACGCCACTCAGCACGTCCAACACAACAAAGCTAGTTTTCATTATAAACAAAATAAAAAAACAACAACCACATATAGTGACAAGTATTCCTAACATGTCGCTACCTTGTATGATGTTGCCTCTCGGAAGGCGGTGGTGAGGGGGCGCGGGAAGTCGTTGTTGAATCGCGTGCTTCAGCCGGTGCTGAAGGGCTGCCGGTGCCGCTGCCTCCCAGCGCCAGCGCCAGCCCGTTGATGCTGCCGACACATCAGCACGTCACCACAACCCTAGCGATCGACACAGACTTACCTGCTCCAATCTTTATCAATTTCATAACCGCTTCCAAAATCAATACTACATACTTTCCTATGAAATTATGTTATGTTCTAATACTATATATCTAAGTTATGACACACTGGAGCAGATAAGGACGCTAACATACATCTAATATCGATGCTATGTTATCGGACTAACCTAGTTAATGTTCACCCAAAAATTGTGTTATTCTACATTGGTACTAAAACACAAATGATATTCCGCCAAGTTCGATATCCGTCGTCTGTAAATGTATTTCGTTTCCAATACTCTAACATAGTCCATTGGACTGATAAAGTAGAGCGAAGCAGAACATTCTCAGCGGGGTGAAGATATATATTAAGCAGTGATGTTCAGTTAGTGGCAAGGCAACAATGGTGTTCACTTAGTAATATAATACAAGCAAGCAGTCTGTTTATGTTTAGTTGTATTCATGCAAAATAAAATATTGTATAATATAATTAGCAAAAACCAAGACCAAGATACCATCTCTGTACACTCTTAGTATAAAGAAGTAGCAAAAGTTTTACGGCTATGATGTAAATCAAAGTTGTTTTCAGGAACTGGCGAAGTGACTTACGATAAGTTCCCCATTCATCTGTCAATCAAGGCCTCAAGTGAACAGAGTTAGTAGGAAGACTTCTAGTGTCACTTAGTAGATAAGAAACACGCAATTACCGCGATGTTTGAGAACCAAACAAATAGAACATTCACCATCAGCAGCTGTGTGAGATCTATATAAAGAACTTTTAATGTTACAAAACAGTTCTTTACGTAACAGTTTCTGTAGCCATAAATGAGAGAGCTTTACAAAAATATTTTAACTGCTGATTGCAATCGTGGCCGTAAACTCATAATTTGATACAATAACTCGAGCTGGTTTTTATATTTCCTCGAGTTATATCGAAGGGGTGCCAACTACGAAAGTTCACTTCCGATAAAATTATTTAAACTGTAAGAAAAAATGGCATAATTTCGAAAAGATCGCGGAATATAAAATTTAGTTTCCGTGACAACATAATGTATTCAAACAAAGTGACATCATTTGGTATGAGGTCATAAGTATTGGCGGAAGTTCGCTACTTTACGATGCAGATATTCATTTTCCAAGTTCTGTGTGGCATTGTAAGTTTATGATGAATAACTTCGTAACGTTTTCAAAGACAGATCATTAATAAAATTCGAACAAAAATCGACAACATCTTTACAAATGCGACCTGAGCGACCATGGTTCGCATTTAGTCCTTTTATTGTCCGGACAGTAAAGAAACGATAAATGTCATAACAACGGATTGCTTGAAGAATTTTATTTAAATAAAACAAGGTGTAGTAAACTTTTATGAATCTGTTGAAACAATTTACTCGACATATAAATAAGCCGATTTATTATTACAGATCTCTTATATACTCTTCCGTGACCCTTTATATGAAAATCCTTCATTACGAACATAAACCTACTGTACCAGAATGTGAATATTTCATTTCAAACAACAAATTATACGCCATCAAAACAAACATAAACAATAACACGTCTCAGTCTCTCAGATATTGCAAAATTCAATTAAAAACAAATGAGCAACAGATAAAATTAACAAAGGAAAATAAAACATACACAAGATTAAATTTAACCGAGGTGTAATTTGCTTGTCATTTAACAAAGACATATACTCGTACTTAGCAGGAAATGCCTGTAAATTAAGTGTCACTGCATCCAATGTCATGAGGCCTTCAAAACATATGTTTTTCGTGAAAAACGTCTAACTTTAACAGATCTTAAGAAGGTAATATATAAGGAAACTATGTCAAAAAATTTCAATAGAATTCAAAATTAAAGTAATTATCAAAGTCGGTCGCACCTCATATATAAAAAAACTACAATTTCCTACAGACAAGGTCGTTTCCGAAGGTTATGTGAGTGTAGTGACATTATCTATAATTCAAAATTTAATTACTCTTTATGTTTACGATGGCTTGCAATCAGCCGTCACAATAGACACGAGCTGATATTAAAATATATATAATTAAATACGTCGATACATTTTAAATACGTCACGATCAATGTTGACGTACTCTGACCAAGGTCTACTCTTTAAGGAATGAATTTTATTTACTAAACATAGAGAGTGACGGGAGAAACCCAAAATTTTAATGAAAACCGTGAACAAACCTTTCAGCGAATTCATCCGATATAAACAATATCTTCCTATATGATTTCTAAGAAATTTAAAGTATGAATTGGGTCAGAAATTAAAATGAGAGCATACGAAACGAGGAAAACGTCCTGGAATTATACACTAATTGTTCAATAAATGTTGTAGTCATGTTGATTGATGGCTTGATAAATATACTGCATTGTAAAATGTACTCGGTACAAAAGTACACTCACTAATGACTCATGATGCAGGCAAGCAGGCGAGCCTTTTGACACGCTAGAACATCATAAACTTCATACTAGATGACTTTTCTATGACTTAGCTCTAGTTTTTATAGTGTTATAAATGAAAACTAAATGTGCCACGCTATATCAACGTATTTGAATATGAACTTCATGTATATTAAAATATTTTTTAATCGTTTTCATTTTGCTAGCAGTTAATAAATTATATTTTTAATTAAAAACTATATATACAGGGTGACTGGTGAATTACTATCAATATTTAAGGAGCATACTCGGTACATGATTCTCATTCGAATTATGTAAAAAAAATAGGTACTTAATTTTTGACCAAATTTCCGTATAAATAAATAAAGTGTGTACACGTTCCAAGTGTTCCAAGTGTGGACGCGTGCGGCGGCGTGCTGATAGAACACTACGCCGCCGCCGCGTCTGTGTGAGTGTGTGTGTATACCTAATCTGTAGGGTGTTCATACGATGCGTAATTAATTAAATAACTTTTGGTTAACTTTACTTAGAAGTTTATTAATATTTATGTTATATTAATTTTTATTTTGTCATATATGATCGTCAAATATCACGTCCTCAAATATCGATAGTAATTAACCAGTCACCCTGTATATATGATCAAGGTGGCAGTTTTATATTGAGGTATTGTACCGCTAATTAAAACAGTACTGTGTCGTGACTTCATTCACAGATAAACGTGAAAAAAAAGAGATTCAGACTACATTCTCAATTATTAATTAAGTCAGTAATCAGTCCATCGGCATTAAATGTTGGCTTTATGATCCACGAGTCTTCAATTCATAGAAGTATCAAACGAAGCACTCCGTTAAAGGAAGCGGTGATGAGCCAGTAGCATATATGCCTGGTTTAGATCGTTAAGGTACGTATTCTAGGCTGCAATTAAAATTTTAAAACATCTATGTGACACTTTAAAAGTCCTTATCAATGTTAATTCGGAATTAAAATTTTTCTTTTAAGTATTCTCTTCACTCTTTTCCTTATACCCTTTAAAATGCCACAATCATTTATCCGCAATTTTCAATTATGTCACGAGAAATAAAATTTAACCTTTTAAAAATAAACAAAGAAAAATAACGTTTACAAAGAAATAAATGCCGACGTAACATTATTATAAAAGCCACATTAAAATACATTATCTGTACAGAATACATAATAAAGAAACTCGGATAATGTTCATCGGTGTATTATAATGAGGGAAGAGACGTGAAATATTGTTTTTTAGCTTCCGCGTTACTTGGCATCCAACACTTTATATTTTTGTGAGGAAAAAAAATATTCAAAATAGATAATGTAACATGTGGACGGCAAATATATATAAACTAGCTCTCAGCCCGCAGCTTCGCCCGCGAGGAGTTTGGTTATATCGGGTTTCCAAGAGAACCTTACAAAGATCTGGGATAAAAACTATCCTATGTTCTTTCTCAAGGTCAACTCCATCTCTGTACCAAATTTCATTAAAATCAGTTCAGTAGTTTAGGCGTGAAAGCGTAACAGACAGACAGACAGAGTTACTTTCGCATTTATAATATTAGTAGAGATATATACAAGCTCAACGACGGAGAGGCGTCACATACATATATTGGGAGACATGGACGAGTATGTAAAATATGAGTAATTTAATAAAACACAGCTTGGATTATATCAACGTCGGTAAGATATGCGTGGCGCGGGTCCAGAGATGTATTCGATGGAAATAAACTGAGCGGAATAGATTGTCATTGAGCGTTTAATCTCCTAAACTAATACACTAATACATACAAACTTCTATAAAATGAACCGCGGCTATGGTACGGGAAGGGTTCTGCTGAACTAACTATAAATTTATCAACGGCTGTCTCACTTGAACTACATTTTATTTGACCAACGAAAACATTTCCGACACATCAAACGCTCCCTGTTAATAGGCTTATAATATAAATTATACTTTACGATGTATCAGTTAGCATGGGAACTATAAAAATATTATGGAAGGCGCTAAAAATACTTTTCTAGAGACTAAATGACTTAATCATTACACTCCAACATCGGCTGATATTGTTCAAATATTGAAATTAACAAGAATTACATCAAATAAAGTTTGTGTAAACATTATACAGCTAAACAGGTAAACAGTATTATTTAAATTTTACATTATGTTTATTTTCACCGACTGCTGGCTGGCGCCGCGCACTCACCTTGACCGTCGTGTCAACAAACCAATGAAATGTGACCTTCCCACCCCCGAAACATCATTCAACAAACGGACTGACGAGGGCATCTACAAAGACTTATAGGATCACGTTATATTGGTCACTCGCAGATCCTGCTTCTGTAAGCTATGGTCAATCTATAATTTTACCGGTTTTTCCAGTTACTCTTGTTTCCGAGACTTTAGTTTAAAATAGATTTATAGCAAACATGATTACGATGGGCATATGCTTTGAAACTTCCCTAATAGTATTATGATTAGCATTATTTTGCCTTTGTCATACGATTTCGGATTTAACGATGTTAATAATGTTAAAAACAAATCCTTGA